GGGGGGCTGTCCTAAAAAAAACTATGAAAAACAGAAAATGTTGACAGTGTTGTTTTAGTGGCGTGCCTGTTTCATCCAGGAAAATATTTTACACCTTTGCTGGTTATGCGTCAGTCAGAAATGTCCCATTAAAACCCCTTTTCCGTCCTTTTTACCGCATCGGCCGTTGACTCATCCCTCATAAACGAAGCCAGCATATTCACAGTACGCCAAACTGTCTATGAATATATAAATTTATATTTAAAAAGTGAAACTTATTGCAGTTTTCTTTTCCAGCTTTCCATTACACATCGACTAGCCGTTAACTGAAGCTAAATTTATTTTGAAACTTTCGGGAAAGCTCCCTATCATGCAGCGGAGTCTGTGGTGCAGCGGTTAAGCACTTCGCTGTCGCAAGCAGAAGACTCGAGTTCGATTCCCGAGTAGGGATGCATTTTTTTCATCGAGGGTCTCGGTCTTTCAGCTGGGATGTTAGTCTCGGGTTTACGACCGGCAGGGTCAGAATCCCCCTTCCTGAATAATCTAACGTGTGCCGAGGGGGGGGGGGGGGCATAAAAACGCCTAAGTGTACATTTAAAAAGAATTATTTTCACCCATCCTGTTGTATCAGAGAATGTCACTTTCTTGGCGTGTTATTGTGAAAGTAAATCTTCTGTAACCCTTCAGCATAATATTTTTGATTATTCAGGAGGCGGGCTTCCGCCTCTGCCTGTCAAGGCCAACCCGGGCTGAGAAGGATACAACATCCCCGCAGAAGGGCCGAGGTACTTTATAGATTAATATTCTCCCCACTCGGGAATCGAACTTGGATCTCCAGCTTGCGACAACGAAGCGCCTAACTGCTTCACCACAATCGCCAGTATCACAGTTGTGTGGGGAAAAAAACCGACATAAACAACAACATCAACGACAGCAACAACAGCGTATGGAGAAAGTGTTAAATCTCGATTTATAGAGACAGGGTGAAATCTCAGTATGTGAAGAAAGGGTTGAATCTGAATGTGTCGAGAAAAAATGGTTAAATCTGAATGTGTCGAGAAAAAATGGTTAAATCTAACCATAAGATCGGGTACAGAAAAACCAACGTCACGACTTACTTGAGTTTCTCGCCATCACCGCTCGGATCATGTGGGTCGTGCTCCCATTCAAGGGCAACTTTCTTCCCGAGGTTTGGACCTCCAACCCCTCCACGTTCTGCCGTGATTCCTTTGCGGAGAGCTGATCCTGGGTAGACATTGGGCTGCATCCCTTTAGAAGGAAAGTATTTCTCATGTTCTCTGTGGGTAGGAAAGCTTTCACTAAGCAGAGACAGTTCCTCTGAGTCGGAAGGATAAAGGGGAAAAGTGTCCTCGAAATTCTCGTCTACGCTCTCCAACATCACCACTTCCTTGTGTGCAGACGACATCATTGTTACCTACGTCACAGAAACGCCTGTCAAACTTGGCAAATGAAAACAGTTAAGTTCTTAAGTCAGTGAACACGCCTTATTTTTTTAGCACTTTTTAAAAAGTAAAAAGAAGTATAAGTGTTATTTTTATACAGTCTGTTCAATTATGTTTTCATTCTATCTGAAACCTATACATATAAAGAAGGCAACAATAATATGCACACCATAACAATTCGGGTTTCTGATAAACAAAGTGCGCATGATTGTTTGAAATGTGCCGCAGCGAAAAGAGTTGGCTGCGTCATGACCTTACGTCCGCAGCCGATGGGACATAATACACTTATGTCCGCAATGTTCTTAATAAAAGAGTTGACGACAAGTAATATCTATAATTATTTTCTGCTTGATGTGTTTTGCTGTCTTTTTGCTTGGCCAACGTTTTCGAGGAAGCCCTGGAGTTTTTAGAACTGAAACGAATAGAACAATAATTCCTACTGTATTCTGTTTGACTTGCGAACACAGGAGGACTATATTTTATTTTAGTTTTAGTAAGGGTTTTGTGGCACTGGCAACCCAAATAGGCCATACAAGTGTCGAAACTTAGAGAGAAACAGACAAAGAAAAGGAGGAGAGATAAGGATGATGATAGAATTTTGACAGCAAAAAAGGAAGCAGGCCACACCATAGCACCAGCCAACACAAGGACTGTAAAGAAACTGGTGAAATTGTATAGGTTTAATGCCCCTATCAACACTGTTAAGCTACTTAGGAGGCGGAACCTCCTAGTTTTACGGCCATCATTGAAAGGAACGAATAAATGACAAATTCGTGTAAAACGTCTTTCCCAAGAACAGAACGTCGGACCGAGCTGTAAGTCACGGTCATACGGGTCGGTTTACTTGCCAGATTGAGGGCGCAAAACGGCTATCGTGGCACAAGCCGATCGCGCCCGACTCGTCGGCTCAAAAACAATATTTCATTAAGTCAAGCTGCTGCATAATAAGAAGGAAAGTGTTGATTGGAACCCACCGGGTAAAAGATCAAGGGGAAAACCTCATGGAACCTTGAGAAGAGTCACAGAAATTGATTTGTAGAAAAGTGGGAAGACACGGAGTGACATCAAGCATCTAGCCCAGGATAGGAAAAGGTGGAAAGTGTTTGTTCGTGGCATATAACCTGATCCATGGTGAGAAAGGCAATGATGATGACGATGATGATAAACTGAAATTCAAGAACACCTCGGTTGCAAGGGATTTGAACCAACGTCGCAAGTCTAGTGGTTAGATTACCGGACTCGCAATCGTGAGTTCGGGGTTCAAGCCTAAGGCCTGACATTGTTTCCTTGAGAAAGGCACTATACACACATTTTCCTCACTTCATCCTGGTCGGAATGTTTACCAGGACATAGACAGCGAAAGATCTTGTCAGAGGGTTAGTGTTTTGGCGCCTCTTAATGGCAGCATGCACTATGTTTCCCAGGAAGTTGAAACTGTTTCAGAATTATGTATTATATATATATTTATATATATATATATATATATATATATATATATATATATATATATATATATATATATATATATATACAGTCAAACCTGCCCTGACGGTCACCTCTATAAGACAGCCACCTGTACAAACGGCCACTTTCCATTTCCCCCTTGCGTTTTTTCTATGTAATTTAGCTGTGTAAAACGGGCATCTGTCCAACACGGTCGCGGCTACCATAATTTAACACACAACCCCTATCACACGAAGCAACAAAACCTGTCGTAGACGGCCACCTTAGTGACTCCATTACGTTTTGTCATAAATTGTGCATTGGTCACTGGCGTTGTGGGCAAGCCGTCATAATTCAATCGCCTGTCGTTGTTGTTAGGTAGTCCCTCCAACTGATCATTTTGTGTAGGCCCCTCCCACTGTTGACCAATAGCTACCAATTTTCAGCTGCTGGTGAGGCAAGCGTGTGATCCCTCATAACCAATAAGTGCAGCCCAGAACTCATACACAAATCGTAAGTGAGATGATTGGTCACTGTTTACCCAGTCTGTAATAAAGTAACAAAGAACGTCAATATGAACTTGTGACAGAAGCGTCGCTCGTTCTCCGAGAGGTGGCGACCCGTGTGTTTGTTTTAACATGACACTCGGTTTTCCTTGTCTGATACATTTGGTTTTATTGTCCCCCTTGTGCACAATCAGCAACAAAATAAAAATTACAAACAAAATACAAACCAACAACAACAAAAACAACAATGCGGCTACTTTCGATTAGGACCTCAGATGGGAATGGTTTGTTTTCCTCATCTTGATCAGCCCTGCCTAAGACGGCCACCTGTCTTGTACGGCCACTTTTCTCCATGACATTGGGTGGCCGTCTAAAAAGGTTTGACTGTACATACATATACAATATCAGGTCTGCCTGCTGGGGTTATAGTATAGATTGTAAAGTGCATAAAGCTTGCTGTTCAGCGGGAATTCGCGCTATACAGATGCTATTCATTATTATTATTATTATTATTATTATTATTATTATTATTATTATTATTATTATTATTATTGATGCGGATGTGACAATTTTCACTGATGGATCGGCTAGTTGTTATTGTTGTTCTTAATTTGCTTTTTGAATTTATTATCATCATCATCATCATTATCATCATCATCATCATCATCATCATCATCATCATCATCATCATCATCATCATCATCATCATCACTGATGATACAAAGAGAGAAAAGGCCAATGAAGCGACACAGTTGATTGTGGACATGGTTGTGAAATGGAGCAATGAATGGAAGCTTACCTTGAATGCAACAAAGAGTGAAGTGTGCTTTTTCTCAACGTGGGGGAATGAGGCAACGTGGCAACCAATAATTCAGATCGAAGGGAAAAAG